AAATCCTAAAGGATGATGCTATCAAAGTGCTGCACTAAATATGCCAGCAAATTTTGAAAACTCAGCAGTTTTGCTGAGCAAATTTGAAAACTCAGCAGATTTTGAAAACTGACCAGAGGACTGGAAAAGGTCAGTTTTCATTCTAATCCCAAAGAAAGACAATGTCAAAGATGTTCAAACTACCACACAATTGTGTTCATTTCATATGCTAGCAAGGTTATGCTCAAAATCCTTCAAGCTAAGCTTCAACACTATGTGAACTGAGAACTTCCAGATGTACAAACTGGGTTTAGAAAAGGCAGAGGAACCAAAGATCAAATTGCCAACATCTGCTGGATCATAGAAGAAGCAAGAGAATTCCAGAAAAACATCTACTTATGCTTCACTGACTATGCTAAAGCCTTTGACTGTGTGGATCACAATAAACTGTGGAAAATTCTTCAAGAGATGGGAATACCAGACCACCTGACCTGCCTCTTGAGAAACCTATATGCAGGTCAGGAAGCAACAGTTAGAACTGGANAGGGTCCATAGAATCAAAGCTATGATTTTTCCAGTAGTGAGGTGTGGATGTGAGAGCTGGATCATAAAGAAAGCTGAGCACCGAAGAACTGATGCTTTCAAATTATGGTGCTGGGGAAGACTCTTGGAGTACCTTGGACAGCAAGGAGATCCAACCAGTCAATCCTAAAGGAAATCAACCCTAAATATTCATTGGAAGGAGTGAAGCTGAAGCTGAATCTCCAATACTTTGGCCACCTGATGTGAAGAACTGACTCATTGGAAAAGACCCTGATGCTGGGTCTTTTGAGGGCAAGAGGAGAAGGTGAAGGCAGAGGATGAAATGGTTAAACAGCATCACTGACTCAGGGGATAAGAATCTGAGCAAACTCTGAGAGAGAGCGAAGGACAGGGAAGCCTGGCGTGCTGCAGTACAAGGGGTCACAAAGAGTTGGACACGACTTAGTGACTGGGAAACAATAACAACAGGCTGTACATAAACTAAAACTATATCTAAAAAATATGAAAATAAAGGACTCTATAATAGCATTTCATATAAAACTAACCCCCCTCCCCCAAAAAAGCTGGTATGGCAGAATCAACAGCAGACAAAACAGAACTTAAGGCAAAAAGGATTTCTAGAAATAAAAAAAAAAGACAAAATAAATACACATGGTGGAATATTTTTCCTAAAAGTGTCTATCACTTTCCATTTCCGACAGCAAAGCATTTCAGGGTAGGGGAATATCAACATATTGCTTATATGTGCAAACTCGATAAGCAAGAAGTAAAGGGAATCTTTTTGTGGTTTAATTTCAAAGTTCGTATTCTCTTAAACACAGCACCAACCACACAACAGAACTCTTGTTTTGTAATTAATGGCAGGCTCTCTGCCCAGGGAAGCAGAAAGCGGCATTCCCTTCAGAGTCCAAGGCGACACACAAGCTCGCGGGCACAGTCTTGGGTAAGGGAGGACTTAACCCCCAGGGCTGAACAAGCAGGAAGTCCAGCTCCAGCTTCATCACCTGACTGGCATCCCCAGCCGCAAGGTCTACATCTGCATTGTATTACTTCTCAGCAGCTTCTTTCATTTGCATACAATCCAGTATTTACTTTCTATACACTTGCCAGCAAAGCTGTTTGGTACCCTGAGTCAGTTAACAAGAATAGTCTTAAGACCAAGTCTGAAGGACCAATTCCCTTCAATTTCACACAAAGATTTCATTAAAAAAAAAAAAAAAAAACTCTTGACTAGCATTAGGTGCAGTTAGCAATTTCCAGAGAAATCACTGGCATATTTTCCCCTAGAACAAAGAAAGGTAAAAAAGCTTCTATAAAATTTAGTAAAAACTTACTGAAATTATTAGAGGGGTGGGATGGGGAGGGAGATGGGAGGGAGGTTCAAAAGGGAGGGGATATATGTATACCTATGGCTGATTCATGTTGAGGTTTGACAGAAAACAGCAAAATTCTGTAAAGCAGTTATCCTTCAATAAAAAATAAGTTAATAAAAAACTTACTGAGATCTTTAATAAATAATTTCAATTTACAATCAAATGACGAATTCACTCCAGGCACGCTGCTGGAAGTTTTCACCCAGTGTACTCTACTCTAATTCCAGAAACAATCCATTTAGGTAGCATCATTGTCCCCATTTTATTGACAATCAAATTGAGGGCCAGAAAGGTTAAATGACTTGCCTGAGGACCCATGCCTCAAACCTAGAGTAATGAGCCTTACAAAGGTAAGCTCTAATGTAGTCCTGTTATTCATATTATTATCAGCATGATTATGACTGAAAATAATTTCTCATTAACCAGCCTGGATCATTTAGGGATACTCTGCGTAATAAAGTCTTATGATTAATATAAGCAGAAACCTCAGATTCGATATTTCTAATCACATTCTGGAAAAATTCAGATGCATAGTTACAGCAATAAGCACTCAGCCAAAAGAAGACAGTTAATCATTCCAAATAATGCTGAATCCAGGTGATATTATTCCCTGACAGACTGGGCTTCTCATGCACACACTTTTGCTGATGCAGCTGCTTCTCACTCGATGCTTTAGAAAGGCTTTTTGATTTACGGTTTGAAGTTAAAATTACCAGAGAGTTTTAAAAGCAGTATGAAAGCCATATGCATCTTACTGTCACTATCTTAAGACTGTGCCTTTCATTTTTGCCTACATTTTTGCCTGAGTGACTGGAATCTAGGTATGGGTAAAGATAAGAAAAACAACCACTTAAAATGGAAAACATCACAAAATTATATGAGATATTTTAAACTCATGAAGTGAAAACAAAACAACAAAACCCCTTTGGTGTCTATAGTCACTTTCAGGAAAAATAAGTGAAGGAGGCAAGGCAAACACGTTGACATGTTTTAGTGTGTTTTTCCTATTTGTTTTCCTTGTCAGAGATACATCCTATTTATCAAGGTCTGTACACATGTTGAAAAATGAAAACAGACCCTGTCTGCTGCAGGCCAGAACCAAGGTTTCCTTTTATCTGGCACCACGTAGCTCCTAGAAGCATGTCCTAATGGAAGCAATCATTCACCAAAGGCTTTAGATTTTGTTTTAAAGCACTCACCCAAAAAAAATCTTTATGAAAGAATATCAGTATCTTTTAAATTTTCAACAAGGGACTTTTTTTAAAGGGGAAAATACATACATGGCAATTCTGAGCCAGATCGCTTTCATTATTTATGGGGTTTTCTTTCCTCCTTTTTTTTTTTTATTGTGGTAAAATGCACATAACATAAAATTACCACCTTAATCATTTTTACATGTCCTTATTAGTGTTTTCAATAAAAATAATGGCCCTAGGAATATTTTTAAAAGCCTCTAAAACATTTTTCTTTTTTAGGAATCTCTGAAAATATTTCTTCTGTGTGAGAAGCAGTGTTATAAGAGGCATGACATTTTATCTACAGCATAAAGGTTTGCCCACTGCAGCTCCCATGGAGTGAAACAATTCAGGTGTCTACCTGGTAGACATTTTTCATACAATATGTGGCATAGATAAATTATATCCACAGATCACTTTTTGAAGTCTCATTTTATCCTCACATTTACCAAATCTTTGGCTAAAATATTATCAAAAAAAGCAAAATGTCTTTGTGTTTCACCTCTAAATACTCAGTCTTTTCTTTGAAGAATGGGAGTGGAGGAGCAGGGTATAAAAAGCGTGAAGGTGGAGCAGTAAGACTCCTAAATGAATGCAAAGAATGAGTAGTTAGCTCTTTGAATAATCTAGAGTTGACATGTCAAAGGGTCAAGGCAATAATCTTCAGCCACAAAAAAAAAGTCTATGAGGTAACAAACAGCAAAAACAAAATAAAATTCTGAAAAATGCTCTCACTTTCTTTGGGTTCTGTTCAAAGACTTTGATCCCCAAACTTCTATATGTGTTTCATTAAGGCTCCTAACTATCACATGCTACTTACTCTCAATGGCAAATCAAAATACAAACACAAAATTCAAAACATATGTTAAAAGAACACCAAATTCTTTGAAGTTGTTCTTGAAGAAGCTCCTGCTGTCCAATTAAAGAAAGTTTTGTTTTCTGTTTTTTGGATTTTTTTTTAAAAGAGGAAGCTGAAGAAGAGGGGGAAGGGAAGGAAAAAGAACAATGCAGAGGAATTTTTTTTTTTATTAAAGATCAAGCTGCCAATTAAGGTTTAAAATTGAATTCTGTATACATACTGTGTCTCAGGAACACCCATTCTGGTATGTCCTAAATTACATGCCATCTCTGGGGATAATAAGCCAAGGGAGGCCAAACCCAAGAAGGGTTGGCAATCAAATGCAAAACAACTACACTCAGGAGAATTTCTCTAGCATCTACCTACAGAATGCAGTTGGTCACATTTATACTAAAAACTGCTTTCAAAAAACACAGTTCAAAGATTAAGTTTCCTTTTGCTGTCCATTCACAATTAAATATTTGTAGAGATTTGACGTCTTTTGATATAATTGTATCAGTTGCAATACACATAATGTCCATTCAATTTTACAAAGTACGTTTTAATCAAAGCTACACATATTTTCTGACCTTTAAGAGCCTGGAGACCCAAAATCATTGTTTCAACAGTGAGAAACATGATATACAAGCAATCTCTTATCAAACATAAACCTGGTTCTGATTACTTTTTGTATTTGAAGCCGATACAAGTAGTTTGCTCTGTCTGGATATTTAAAATTGATTGCCAAATGGGAATGGTACTCTCGAGCCCACCATCAGAGTTAGTTTCTTATTCTCCTTACCGAGTCTTGGTCAAAACCTTAAGCACCACTCAACAGCAACTAAAACTGTGAAATCAATTTAAATATCTCTATACTTGCCAAAACTTTATATCTACAGAGCTGACTCTATAAATAATGATGAGGTTAAAACTGAACCTTCAACTATCCAATCCTTGATTTACATTAAAAAAAAAAAAAGACAGCTTATGAATTTGTTCACTTTAACTATGAAATCAAATGAAAAATCTGACCTTGTGATGCCCAAATTCATTCAAAATGGTTCCCAGTTTTCTGGTGTTGCTATACGGTTTTTGGGCAGCAAAAGCTGGATGGGGGTCCCGCCAGTCGATGGACAAACGGTGATACCAAAGACGCTCACTTTCCAGAACATGAGCTGATTTAACACTAGGATCAAAACGATGCACCTCACATCCACTGTTGGCCATGCCAGCCTCAAATTGGGTATCATCACTTCCTAGGCTGTAAAGAAAGAGGATAGAAATCAATAACAAAAAAATATAATGGAGAAAAAGTGTTAACTGACAAAAATGATAGTGCCAAGGCCAATTTTCTTAGCCATATCAAGGCTTCTCCTGTTTTAGAACATGGCTGGTTATACACATTCAGTAAACCTTCCTTCACAAAAAGCATTAAAGCTAAAAGCTTCTGGATAAAAGAAAAGAGAGGAATTAGGTGCTAAATGCAGACTAGAGAATCACATATTCAAACATGTAGGAGCATATAAAATTAAATTTTTTAAAAGATATAAGCTATAGTATCAATGAAACAAAGACTATCTAGTAATCTCAGAAGATATTCTCAGAATATGCCAAAAATAAAAAGTCCAAGCATCAGTTCCCTTAGGGAGAGGTGCATTCTGCTAACGAGGTAATTTGTCTTCCTTGTAATGACCATTGTGCTGTGCATGCAGTTTGACTTAAAACAACAGCTGCTTTCTTTAGAAATGGGTTGTATTTTAAATAGCACAGTTAAAGAAAAAAGGCAGATGTATGTGGCTCTACTGAATCTGGTACTCAAGAAGCAAAAGAGGTATATCGCCTCAATTCACATAAGCAAGGGGAAGAAATTAGGAATTAGTTGTATTTAAGTACCCAGTTAGGTAACACATTGTGGAATATTTATATACTTACAAATTTCTAATTTACTGAGAAATATTTCTTACGTAGTGATGTAAGATTCATAACTTTGATTAAAGCATGATTTTGAATGAAAAACATTAAATTAACCAAGAGAGGATGATTTTTTTTAACAATGAGTTGACTTTTCTGCCCAAATACTATATTTAGATGTGATTAAAGATACCAACTGGACATGGACCAATAGACTGGTTCCAAAGAGGAAAAGGAGTACGTCAAGGCTGTATATTGTCACNAAGAATTTCACAGTCCCATATATAACATGATGATGCTTACAGTTTTTGCTTCTTGTCATGTAGTGATATCCTTGCATTTAAAAAGTTTGAATTTTAGTTTTCAAAATAGCAGCATTCTATATTTGAAAAAACATGTTTGTGCATGTATGCATAAGATGACTTAGTAGACAAATATGACTTAGTTGACTGTTAAAACTTGGTTTATATACTTCAGTGGTCTGCTGCACATAGTTTGGACTCACACACTAGACCATGAGCTTAACTAGACACAGGCTTATGCTTTGACCCCCTATCGTATTTGGCACAAATTTTGCACATGGCGCTGAATTTTGCACATGAAAATATTAGTTGATTTGTGAATTTTTCATGTTCACTATTTGAACTGGGATCTCCTGCATTGCAGGTGGATTCTTTACCAGCTGAGCTACAGGGAAGCCCAAATAAGATTTTTGCCCTCCTCCAGGGGATATTCCAACTCAGGGATTGAACCCAGGTCTCCGGCGTTGTGGGCGTGTTCTTTACCGTCTGAGCCACCAGGGAAGCCCATGAACATTGGAGTGGGTAGCCTATCCCTTCTCCAAGGGATCTTCCTGACCCAGGAATTGAATCAGGGTCTCCTGCATTGCAGGCGGATTCTTTACCAACTGAGATATTAGGGAAGCAATAGATACTGCAAAGCATTTTTTAGTAGTCAGATTTGTTTCTATATAGATCAGAATGTTATAGAAATCACCTGTCCTAAAAGATTTTTCACATAATTGAATTTATCAACATTTAGATGAGCAAACTTGTGCTTTCATGGAAATATGGAACTCATCAGAAAAATGGAAGTTTGGTAGCCTCACTAAGAGATCAAACACTAGTCAAAAAAGTACTCATTAAATATGATTTGTATATAAATTTTCTAGAGTAAAGAAATGTGAATGATTTATTTCTCTTTGAATTTTCAGAACATCATTTCAAGAAAAGATCTTCTGCTGTAAAACATGTATATATTTTAATCAAGGCCTCAAAAAATTTTAAGAATTAACCATATACAGTTGTATAACTAATTTTTAGTAAGCATTATATTATACCTTGATATGTTTTCAATTTAAACTCATTTCTTATAGTTAAAAAAATAGCAAATGCCCTTTAAAAAGCTCAAGTTGTGTATAAATATACAAAACAAAAAGTAATTTCCTACCACTAGAATTTTAGCCATTAATTTCCAGAGATAAAAACTTAGTAATTTTTTGTGTATCCTTCCAGAAATTTTCTACATATGTGCAAGGATTCTCTATTAGAAATATCATAAGTACCCATACACATATATAAGTTAATTATTAGATGATGAGGAACTATTTTGGGTGATATACTAAATAACATGAAACTACTGAAATTTGCAAATTTTTTGTTATGCTATTTTTACTGAATAAAATTCACTTAATTTAAATATATAATATGCACTGTATTGGAAAGTAATAAACTACATTTATTTAATCAATGCCTGTAATTCTTATTTTCCTTTATTCAAAACGGTACTTCTTCACACTTAGTTTAAATTAGTCAAGTTTGTGGTGGGAGTAAAAAGCAAAAGGAAGAAAAAATTTGATATACATAGGTGTTGCAAAAAGTGGCCCAAAGGGGTAAAGTCAAGACTCAAACTCAATCCAGGCAGTTCCAAAGCATGTGCTGTTTATATTCTACCTCACTGCAAATAAGTGCAGGACACAGAATTATGGAAGGAATATTTGTGAACTTGGAGATCTACAAAATTGTCAGCTACCAGACAATAAAGCTCCATAAAGTAAAGGACTGTGTCAATCTTGCTTATTTCTGAATCCTTAGTGCTGAGGGGGTAGATGAATGATGACAGATAAACTTACAAAATGCTGCGCTAAGTGAAAGAAAACTATTAGGTAGGGCCTGGAATTGCCAGAATATACAGTCCAATATCCAACATGACATGGGATGGGCTATATTTCACTGACAGATAAATTAACCTGGTGCTTGCTCTGAAGAAACTCATAAGTAGTAAAGAAGAAATATTTTTGAGCAAATATCTATAATAAACTAAAATAAAATGATTATTTATACCAAAAGTGTATTTAGTCTATAAGGACACTATTTTCTGCTCTTATTTAACTGAAAAGAGAATTCACTGTGGAAAAATTTTACTTTATAGAAATTTTTAAAATATATATTTTATGTATATATTATAAATATAGATCATGATCGCATGGCTTCTACCTCAAGGTTTAAGATAGTTGTTCCAGTTCCTGCCATCATAACTGCATTCCAGCCATCAGGGAAAGTAAAAGGGGAGGTGAGAGTCACATGCTTTCCTCCTCATGGCATGGCCTAGAAATTGCACCTATCACTTGCACTTGTATCATATTGCTAAAAGCTAGTTACATGGCCCCTAACAGCTGCAAGAAAGTCTAGAATACACAACCTTTGGCAAGGTGACTGTGAGCCCTGCTAAACTCAGGAGGTCTGTTACCAAAGAAGAATGAAAGAATGAATATTGGTGGACAACTAGAAATTCCTGCTACAAGCCATGTTTGAAACAGGTAAGCTGTCAATACATATATTCAAAGATATAAGCTTTCATGAACACTGTAACCTATCCCTCTATATGGAGGAGAGAACAAATTATATAACTCATGCTTATATTAACAAATATTAATATTATTCCATATATGTTGACATAAAAGTTTGAGATCACAACAAACTCTTCAGCACAGAAGGGTTGTCAAATCTGAGGGATTTGTTGAAGAAATAGGAAAGTAGGAAGGGGCAAATTATAGGGCTAAACACCCAAAGGTAACAGAATAACAGAGTAACCATCTTGGCCCTCCTCTCCTGATGTCTCAGAGAGCAACAACCAGTATCCCTAAGTGTAGTTGTGTGGGTTGTACACTAAACAACTCTAGGGGGCATCACTCCTAATCGTCATAATGATTATCCAACAGATGGTAGTAAAAGTTCTTGAGGGAGGAGATGCCTTTTCCCATATGCGTAAAAGTATCCCTTGGACTAGCTACAGTACTGGCAATTGCATGCCCTTTGATGCTACTGAAGGGTAGAAGGGATGTATGTAGCACTTTAAAATCCTTGATTATTCTTTTAAAAATATTTCTATTAGGGTAACTGTCCTTTATGTTCCCTAAGATGCAAAAACTCAGAGTATAAATACATGAAGAGATACTCAATATCATTAACTAGTAGGGAGAAACAAAATAAAACTATAATGAGATGCCGTTTCACAGCTACTAAGATGGCTATACACAAAAAGACCAATAATAGTAAGTGTTGATGACAATATGGAGAAATTGGAACCCTCATACACTGTTGGTGGGAACATAAAATGGTATATAACCAAGAGATATGAATACATATGTCCACACACAAAAATCCATACATGAACCTTCATAGCAATATCATTCATAGTAGCCAAAAGGTGGAAAAAACCCAAATGTCTATCAGCTGATGAATGAATAAATAAAATATGGCCTATCCATACAGTGCAATATTATTTGGCAGTAAAAAGGAATGAAGTACAGATACATGTAATAACATGGATAAAACTTGAAAGTATTATGCTAAATGAAAAAAATCAGTCAAAACACCACATAGTAAATGCTTCCATTTATATGAAATGTCCAGAGTAGGCGAAACTATAAAGACAGAAAGTAGATTAATGGTTGCCTAGAAGTGGGAGATGAAAAGAAGGAAGTGGGTATGAGGAAACTGGGAGTGACCACTACTGAGTACAGGCCTTTCTTACTTGGGGTGATGATAATGTTCTAAAATTGACTGCAGTGACTAGAAACCATTGAATCGTACTCTAAATGGATGAATTTTGTGGTATGTGAATTATATCTCAATTCAAAGTTGTTTAAAAAACTAAAAAAATTAAAAAAATCAGACCATATATAGGGAAAGTTTTTAACTCTCATCATTGAAGACAGAAAGGTTGGAAGAAGTAAGACAATTTGTATTTCCCCCAGTATTATCAGTCATCCTTTCCTCATTTCAGCAGGAACCAGAGAATCTGGACAAATAATCACCTAGATCTGTAAACTGCCAACTACTAGAAAGTAAGTGTGTGTGCTCAGTCACTAAGTCGTGTCTGACTCTGCAACCCTATGGACTGTGGCATGCCAGGCTCTTCTGTCCCTGGGTTTCTCCAGGCAAGAATACTGGACTGGGTTGCCATGTACTCCTCCAGGGGGTCTTCCCAACCCAGGGATCAAACCCACATCTCCTGCGTCTCCTGCATTGCAGGAGGATTCTTTTACCACTCTGAGGAGTAATAGGCTTTCCAAAGCACAAATGACAACGAATAGTGGATAAAAATACTTTATAATCATTCATTTTTATTAAATAACATTACATAAAATGCCAAGATTTCATCTAAAACATATATTTTTTAATGGAATGATATCGTCCCTAAGCATGGGAGAAAATTGATTCTTTAAGTATATGTTTAGAGTATAGATAATACATAAGTTATGTAAATAGATATACAGTGTATAGTATTAAAATTTCATGGGGAGGATGATTAGGGGGAAAATTGTCTAAAAAGAGTCCTTGGGACCATGATTTTCTAATTCCTCATTCATATAAAAAATGAGCTCTTACTGTGTTAATTAAACTATTAAAAGATTAAAATTTTGGCTTTGGAGCTCGTTCATTTCTCTTGAAAGGCTCAGGGCAACCAGAAGTCCCAGATTTTCTGCCTAAGATATTGGCTTTTGTTGCCTAAACCACATATCAAATTTTCTTGTCTCATGCTGAGAATTTATATCTTAAAACCAAATGGTACATCATGTCAGAAAACTAAACAAGAGGCAAAAAAGATTTATCTACATATTATCCCCTCAAGTTTTCTCCTCCACTCCCACTCCTACCCCTGAAATATAATCTTTGATATAAAGGATTAAAAGGTGATTTTTCCCAATTCACTTTAGCTACCACCTTCATTCCCACCCCATCTCCCTACCATCATCCCTCCACCTCACATACAAGCAGACTTGCAGGGCAGACCCCATCTGAAGTCAAGCAATAGACAATATTATCACATGACCTCACAGCCTCTTCTCACTTAACTTCTCTTTCCCCTTCTCCATAACATAACCTTCCTTTTCAGTGCCTTCCCCTATCTTAATTGGTCTATTCTATTCCTTTTCAAAACTAAAATGGATCTGCCTTAAATTTTCAACTAAACTTGACTCAGAGTACACTCCTAGAAAAACTCTTTTACATTAACTGCAGAATAAAAAGCTTTGATTCCTAGTAAAGAAATTTCAGACATCAGAGAGAATGTAGAGGTGATACCTCCTTCATTTCTTGGAGGTGGAAGAAAGGTAGGACAGAGATCAGAGAAGGGTATTCAGCCTCTGCCTTCTGATCAGTATGTCCTGAGATCCTTTCTTCCTCTCACTCCTAAAAGGTCACCTCCAGCTGCAGCTTCACTCATTACGCTCAGTTAGGATAGGAATGGCTAAGCACAGCAGGGGCTTGGATGGTCTGCTGCTGCAGCCCTGGGGTTTAGAGCTTGGGCCTAGAGCTTGGGCCTGAATGTAGGAGCACCATGACCCACTTGCCTCCTGCCCAGCCTATCTATCTCACAACTCTCCCAACACTCGCAAATGTTTCTGCTTCATTTCAGAACCACCATTTGTGGCCTGGGTCTCTTTCTTCCCTCAGTATCAACTGAGATGTTGTCAGTTGGCTATTACCTTCCCCTGAAGCAAACAATTCACCTGAGAGTATTCTCAATCCTGAGAAATAGTACAATGAACATAAACACCCATAATCCAAAGCATTCTTTTTTAGGGCATAAGAAATATTTTCTTTAGTTTCCAGTTTTCAATTAAAGCATTGTTAGGTTTTGAATCAAATGTTGGCCCTTGAAACCAATCCATTTCTTTTCCCAGTAGAATTCAACTGTTCCTATCTGCTCTTTACAAAGTTGATTTTGAATAGTGAGCATTTAAATGAAAATAAGAAACTACCTTTTATATGCAATAATCTGAAATCTTACAGCAGAATGACTTTATCTAATGGCTTTGAAGTATAAGAAAAGCAAAAAGGAACTTGAAAAATTTCCCCCAAAACAGCTTTCCCAGTTTTGTTTTACTCAGTTATATTCTTTAAATGAAATTATTCCAGGGTGTAAAATATTAAGCAAAACATAAAGGCAGTTTGGAGCAAGAAAATAGGACCAAGCTGAGATCTTTAATTTGCATGTAGAACTATGCAATTATTTTTATGACCTACTTTCATGCATTTTTAATATGATATAAAATAAACTCCACTGTCACAACGTCCCATTCTTTCTCCAATCTTGCAGCATAGCTGGTGGGCTCCAAGAAAAAAGGAGCTCTGTTCTAATCAACTGGCTAAGCAACGCATTTACTAATCTTCAGCCTCCTAGTTTAATTCATGGCAGAACCAGCTTCCCTCTTGAGTCTTCTTACCTCAGGCAATGTTTATGTAGCAAATATATATTGAGTGCCTACTGTGTACCACACTTCACTGATATACACCATGCCTCTTCATTCAACCCATAAAAGAATGTTTCTATTATCCTGAGATTCTTATTTGAAACCTGTTTGCTTATTTTTTAAATCCACAATGACTACAACTAAGAATTCTTGCTTGGTAAAGTTTGACAGCAATCGTGATCCTCTATGCAATTAGCACCTTTGGGTGAGCCTCTGTATCACCCAAACCTTGGCTCTGAACCCTCATCATCTAGGAATCTGGTTGGCAGTTGTCACTCATGAGCCTGAATGTAAACTACAGAGGAGATGAAACCTATTGGTGAGTAACAAACATGATACTTGGGAGGGTCCCCAGTATTTTGTAAAGGACTCCAGGGATCTTGCCTGAGAAACTAACCACACAGCTTCTAGAGTCAACACAACAGGGTATTCAAACAAAAATAACCCTCTCCTGCCTTTTATTTTTTCTGAGATATATATAATTTGTAAATTTTCAGGACTGTTTATATGAACATTGATGCACTGAGTAAAATGGTCTCATTATTTTATATGTATCCTTTTACAACAAGCCCTCCAAATCTATTTGAACATGTAGGTCATTTTCAGCCTTAATAACTGAATATCAGTGTCTCCCACAGTTTTGACAAAACCTTGTTATTTTCACAGGCACTCCCTCTTTTTATTTATTTATTTTTTTAGTCTAAAAGTATACACATATTTACCATTGGCATAAAACAAAAAAATCCAACAGAGGCCATTTGTCCTGGGTCACTCATCATCAGTTCAGTCAGTCAGTTCAGTCGCTCAGTCGTGTCCAACTCTTTGCGACCCCATGAATCACAGCACGCCAGGCCTCCCTGTCCATCACCAGCTCCTGGAGTTTACCCAAACTCATGTCCATCGAGTCGGTGATGCCATCCAACCATCTCATCCTCTGTCGTCCCTTTCTCGTCCTGCCCTCAATCTTTCCCAGCATCAGGGTCTTTTCAAATAAGTCAGGTCTTCACATCAGGTGGNCTTTTCCTATTTGGAACCAGTCTGTTGTTCCATGTCCAGTTCTAACTGTTGCTTCCTGACCTGCATACAGGTTTCTCAGGAAGCAGGTCAGGTGGTCTGGTATTACCATCTCTTTCAGAATTTTCCAGAGTTTATTGTGATCCACACAATCAAAGGCTTTGGCATAGTCAATAAAGCAGAAATAGATGTTTTTCTGGACCTTTCTTGCTTTTTTGATGATCCAGCGGATATTGGAATTTGATCTGTGTGTATAAGATTTCTAATATACTCACTGTTGCTTTTTTTTTCTAGGGGCATTGTTAATATTTTTCTGTTTCTAATAAGAATGCTCTAATACTAGCTGAGAATCACTGGCTTCACCAAGGAGATCATCATTAGGCTGAAAATGGAAGTTATCAATTTACTACCAACAGAATGGGAGAGAAAGTGGCCCTGGCCATTGAACCTCTGTAAGTGCCTAAGGTTACATAGCAGACAGAAGAGTCTGAAATGATGGCAGGAGAAGCAGCGGAGCACCTGTTAAACCCTGCAACCATTCATCATTTGTCTTGCTGAAAAAACCTTGTCTGCCTACAGGAGCGTTTTTTGTTTTCTGGCTGTAAAATGTACTTACCCTAACGAATAGAGCCGGCACTGCTTGACACGGATTTGATGAACTAACCCAAACCTGTCATCGAGACAGACCGACCAGGGCTTTTTTGTAGGGCTGGAGGCAGTAGCCAGGCTGTCTGTGCTCATGTGATCACACGCAATCTGTAAGGATTGGAAATCAATGTGAATAATTTAAAGTACTGGATGATAGATGGCAGGTAGAGACTTACTGCTTTCCCGGTCACTGAAAACCATAATGGGAGAGTTATATCCTTCTCCACTGATAACCACGTGCACCCCCCCTCCCCCAGGGAATCAGAGGATTGCTATAAAATGTTTGGAGGAATCTCAAATACTAGATTATAGGTAATCTAGTGGAGATTAGAGGCAGGTTTGAAGGGAAATTAAGAACTGCTATAAAAAAAAAAAAACAAACTATAGCCTTTTGCAGAGAGTATACAGAGGACAACAAATCAGGAGCAAGGATGGCAGAGAGGAGAAGCCAGGAAAGGCTCTACAGAGGTGTGTTAGTCTTGGAGAAGGAACAGAAGTTAAATAAGAGGCTGAGACCAAGAAGGGCATTCCAGACATGGAGAACAGTGCTCCCAAACCACAGAGGTCTGTTACTCACAGCATTCCTATTAGAAGTTGTGTGATATGGCTGAGGGCATAGATCTTAGAAGGACACAAGATTATTTACTCCTTATCTCAGGCAGACAAGGTTAGGCCAACATGCTCCAAAAAGGTAGCATGTGTTGATCAAGGTAAACAACTGATCAGAGGTCAAGTGAGAATAATACAAGCCCCGACTAACAAGATAGTACTGTCTGTGATACACTTCCAATAAGCTTCCTCCTGCAGGGGTGGGCAAGAGCCCCAGATGGGAAGGAGGCTCCTCTTGATCTAGCCAAAGCACCTCTCATAACTCATCCATCAAAATTAGATAAGAAAACCAAAAGGAACATGTATCTAAATCAAGCGGAAGGAAGCCAGTTTCTAATTTCAAATGCACATTAAGTAAATATACTTAGCGAGGAATTCTGACTTGTGTTTGAACCTGGCGCAGTATGCATGGCTGAGGCTGTTGGAACCAAAGAAAACAAGTTCTGTGGCCAAGGTATTTATCTTACTGAGCGACAGTGTTTCCCTCTAATCCCTCAAAACTCTCATAGTCATCATGATGCCCCACGGATCATGCAGCAGTTCTTGCTGTCACATCACAGACAACAGACCATACCAGAGGCAAAGGATGTTTTGAGTTTCATCGCTTTAATTCACTGGAAAATATAATAGTAAACGATTTCTTTCTTAAAAAGGTATTCTAGGCTTGGTCAATCCTTTCATTTATTTTCCAGAATGTTAATCTGAAAACAGCATCTCCCTTACTTTTGCTGTAATCTAGGACTGACCTGGCAAAATCATCCTAGTACTATCTATCAATGACTGAGAGAGAGCTTCCTACTAGAATTTGGACCTTTTATAGGAAAGTTTAAAAAGTGAAATCCTAATATTTATTTGTTCTTTCCTTTTGATGAAACAAAAATGCAAATTTTAAGGCAATAAAAATTTAAACATAAAATTTTATGATCCACTACTCGCCTTGTATATGCAGACATCTTTGGTGAACTTTATGTACAATGCTAATATATCATTTTCCTTAAAGAAGCAACTGGTACAGAATAGACTGGGTCAAGTAACCTGGGGAGATTCTGGGCCTCACTTACTGGAAGTTCTTAGCTTACATACGTACGTAGGACTTTATTGATGTTACTAGCTTTATTACTTGTATTCTATTTTACAAGATTATTATTTCTTGTACTAATAAATGTGTGACTGAGCCTCCAATAAAAGTAATGATCATTAGGCAACTTAAAACTTCAAAACTCAGTGTTCATCAAGCTTGTTCTTACTAGTAGGTATGTTGTGATGCCTTAAAACTTCATTGGCACTCGGCTCCATGCCCTGCCTCCTGCGGTCAGTTAGTTAGACCCAGGGCAGTTTGGTGGGTCCCAAAGGCATGCCTGGATCTCCTAAACCTGAACCATTTATTCTAAGGTAGCCTCCTGGGGTATCTTTATTAAAGTGGTATGATGATCCCATTTCCTATTGTTTCTTTTTATGTACCCTCTCTGAGAACCTCTAAAAGACAGGGATGTTCACAGCTGCTTGTTCATCATGTCCTCCCAACACCATTTAAATCTAACTCTAGCCTCTCTTAATCTTCTAGATTAAGAGGTGGCAAGAATACACAGAAGAACTAGACAAGAAAGGTCTTAATGACTCAGATAATCACAATGTTGCAGTCACTCGCCTAGAGTCAGACATCCTGAAGTGTGAAGTCAAGTGGGCCTTAGGAAGCATTACTATGAACAAAGCTAGTGGAGGTGATNCTGATGCTGGGAAAGAGTGAAGGCAAAAGGAGAAGGGGGCAGCAGAGGATGAGATGATTAGATAGCATCATTGACTCAATGGACACAAATTTAAGTAAACTCTGGGAGACAGTGAAGGACAGAGGAGCCTGGCAGGCTGCAGGCCAAGAGGTCAAAAAGACTTGGACACAACTTAGCAACTGAACAATATCTAGCCTCTCCCACCATATTTCTCAAGGTGTGGCCACCTGCATCCTGATAGATGAGTGAGTACTTAAAAATTTTTGAGTCCCACTCCATATTTATAAAATCAGACTCCTTGAGTCTTATGCATGTGAACATACATTTTAATAAACTCTCCCAGGTGATTCTTAAGCAGGAGGTCCTGAGAGTTTCCCGGCAGCCTTTTGTAAAGCTCCACTGAAATGTTCCAGATTGGCCTCACCCATGCCTTAGCAAATTAAGGGAAGAGGCTGTGCTTGAGCTAGACCTTTCAACTGAAAACAGCAGCACCTCCAAAACCTCACCCCTAACAGAGGGCCGGAGAGGTGACACTACAGTTATCCAGAGGGCCCCCAAGAGTCAGGTAAATATTTATGGTCAAACTTCAGGACATTGAGGCTCAGCTGCTCCCCCTTTATGACCCTTAGGGAGTGGGATTTTATCCTATTAAAGTTAACACTTTCTTCTTCCACAGATTTCCTCTTGTTCTGCTATCTCTATTGGAAAAACATTCTTTTCCATTCAGTATCTGTTATTGTTCCACTTTTCTTTGCTAGTGCAAACATATAACAGAAGTTTTTCCATTTTCAGTTCATTTCAGTCACTCAGTCATAATGGACTCTTCGTGACCCCCTGGACCGTAGCACGCCAGGCCTCCCTGTCCATCACCAACTCTGAGTTTACTCAAACTCATGTCCATTGAGTCGGTGATGTCATCCAATCATCTCATCCTGTCATCCCCTTCTCCTCCTGCCTTCAATCTTTCCCAGCATCAGGGGCTTTTCTAATGAATCAATTCTTTGCATCAGGTGGCCAAAGTACTGGAATTTCAGCTTCAGCATCAGTCCTTCCAACAAATATTCAGGACTGATTTCCTTTAGGATTGACTGGTTTGATCTCCGTGCAGTCCAATGGACTCTCAAGAGTCTTCTCCAACGCCACAGTTCAAAAGCATCCATTCCTTGGTATTCAACTATCTTTATAGTCCAACTCTCACATCCATATATGACCACTGGAAAAACCATAGCTTTGANGATGCTACTCAGGTTTGGCTTGGCCCATCCATGAGCAAGGCCAAGACAATGATTTTACACCACAATGTCATTACATTTTGATTTATACTGCTAGCTTTTGTCTGTTTTAAAATTGCAGGTAAGGCCACTGTTCACTTTAAAGTTCACTGGAACAGGATGTCACCTAATGAAATATGATGTGACTTATACAAAGTATAGTTTGCCCTAGATCTTACAACATATCCCCTGTGAGATTCTGCCTTATTTTTGCCCTTGATCTTCTTCCCACACCAAACCACATTTCCCATTTCCTCTGCCACCTGATAATAAAATGCAAAGTCTTTAAGGATATCCTGCTTGTCACAATGTCTTTTGTTTATAGTCCATCAAACGTTTCAAGTTCGTTCTCATCTAGGAACCTTTACACTTGCTGTTTTCTTTGCCTGCAGAACTCTCTTTCCAAGTATCTACATAGGAAACTTCTACTTAAAATGTATGCTTCAGCTCACATATTATCTTCTATGAAACATAATTACTGATTACTCTATCAAAGAACACTTCTATCTCAAAGTCTTTATCACAAAGGTTCTTAAATTATCTTTTGCAGCCCTTGTCATAAGTGCAAATTATCTTATTGTTAATATGTTTATTGTTTTATCTGTTTCTATTTCAATGTTGGGAAAAGGTGTTTGCTATGACCAATGTGTTCTCTTGACAGAACTTAGTCCTAGCCTTGCTTGATTTTGTACCCCAAGGCCAAACTTAGCCTGTTTCTCCAGGTATCTCTTGACTTCCTTTATTTGCATTCCAATCCCCTGTGATGGAAAGGACATTTTTGGGGGGTGTTAGCTCTAGAAGGTCTCGTAGGTTTTCATAGAACTGGTAACTTCAGCTTCTTCAGTATCAGTGGTTGGAGTATATAGACTTGGGTTACTGTGGTGGTGAATGATTTACCTTGGAGATGAACTGATTTGGTCATTTTTGAGATTGCACCCAGGTACTGAATTTCAGACTCTTCTGTTTACTATGAGGGCTACTCCACTTTTTCTAAGGAACTCTTTCCCACAGTAGTAGATAAAATGGTCATCTGAATTAAATTCGCTCATTCCTGTCCATTTTAGTTCACTGATTCCTAAAATGTCGATGTTCACTCTTGCCATCTCCTGTTTGACCACTTCTAATTTACTTTGATTCAGGGACCTAACATTCCAGGTTCCTATGCACTATTGTTCTTTATAGCATCGGACTTTACTTCCATCACCAGTCACATCCATAACTGGGCATTTTTTTTGCTTTCATTGTTTTTTTCCACTTTAACCATTTATTAATCATCTCATTTATAGACATTAGCTTTTGAAAACAACTAGGAGTACTCAGTAAAATTCAGCTCCTAAAAACTAATTAAATATTGATTTTTCAAACTTTCCTGTTGAGATTTATGGCCAGGGCTTCAATGAAGTCGCTTGCAAGCAAAACCAATGAGGGCAGTAACTCCTAGCTAAGCTCTAATTTAGGTAAATATGGGTTTTTTTTCCTCCCTCCAATTCCCCTTGTAATTTTAGCCAAATAAGAGAATCAAACCTGGACAAAGGAAAACAGATTGCAAGAAAAAAAAAGTGTTTCCTGAAATGCCTTTTAGTTAATTTAAGTTGAGGAGATCTAATTTATTTTCATTTCATTTTGTATCCCAAAAGCCTGAATAGCATTTCTGCCAACCCATAACCAGAATCTGGCAAAAGGAACCCTTAAATTTTGGGTACGTTGGCAAGAATCACTTCAATAATCAAATTGCATGTTAAAGTAATACATTATTTTGAAAGGTAAAATATCAAGGAAAGAGTTGTATTTTTGTTGCTCTTATCCAAATTTGTGTGAGTGTGAATGTGTGTGTATGTGTGTGCAGCAGTAAATATAATAGAAACTATTCTTCTATTAATAAATGTGCAAAATCTGAATGTCCAGAGCCGTAGGTTCTTATGTCATTCTTAGAAACACTTAGATGAGTAGATGATTAGATAGATAGATAGGCTGACTTTAAAACGTATTTTTTCTTTTTAAAACAGCAACTGTTGCTTATATTAATTTTGTACTGCAAGCCATGCTTCCTGAAGGCATATGGTTTGGGGGTTGCCATAAAAAGCTGAATCTGGAGCTTTCCTTTAGAACAGAGCACTGGGTTTATGATTTAACCATTTCTTGTTAGCAGCAGATCATCTATGCCAGAACTCAGAGATGCAATCACAGCCTTTCACACTAGAAAACAATACCTACTAAAACTGAACTTGATATTCTGCCCACTCGAACCAAATACCATATCCTTTGGTGTTTCATTAAAAAATGCAGGTCCCCAACCACACCTTTAAGGTCACCACAATCACAAGTCCACGGGCACCTTCCCCCCAACAGTCTAATGTCACACTGTCCCATGCTCTGTGCTCCTGTTCCCAAGCTCCCTGGGCCTGGGGAAGCTTACCTACCTATCTGTCCACTCTGCTAAAGAACAACAGCTCTCTTGCTCCCTAGCCGTTTGCCAGTGTGTGGGGGTATTTAATTCAAGTTTGACATCCCAGCCAGTGCCTAACACCATATCTTCCTCAGAGCAAGTACTCAACAAATGTCTGCTGAATTGATGAATGAATAAATCAATGATGAACATATCAAATGCTAGGTTTTGCTGTACAAGCCTGAATATGGATTTGAGGGAAATATATATATATATATATATATAAAACCAGCATAAGAGGATGGAAGTGGAATTTGCTCAAGTATCTACAGAGGTTTTTTTGGTTTATTGTTTTTTGGGGTTTTTTTTTTGCTTGCCCATTATGACTCATTACTGCTAACTGTGAAAATTTTAGGTAATAGGGATTCTAATATTCTGCCAGTTTCGTAGGCTTTCATTGTCGAGATGAGTTCTAAAAGAGGCACAAGCTTCCAACACAGCTGAAAAGCTCTGCAGAACAGAGAAAAGGGGAGGGAGCACTGGTTAGTAGGATTCCAATTAAACCAGTTAGTGTCATCTCTGATGAGCTCCCAGCTCCTGGGCTAGTGATTCAGAAGTACACAAAAGCACAGGACTTTAGCTGGTAAAATGACCTCTGATTACAAAACCATTGTGAGGTCTGGAACTTTATCCAGTGCCTTCTAGAGGATGCAAAATCTTCTAGTGAGCTTCAACAACAAAATCTCTATTACTATACTTCTCAAGGTGAATAATAATTATATGTCCATTTATCTACCTTCCCAACTAGTTTGTTAGCCACTTGAATGCAGAGACTATCCCCAAGGCCTACATTTCTGGCACAGAGTAGGTGTTCAGTAATACTTGGTTAATAACAATTCTATACCAGTCTTATGGTAAAAGCTCACGGAGCTGGGAAGGACCTTAGAATTTGATACAATCTCTTCCTTTCCAAGATCAGAACAGTCAGACCAGACAAGCAAAATAAATTGCCTAGGATCACAACATCAGACCACATCACAGGATGCTTTTTTTTAAAGAATTTTTCCCTCTCAGTCCATAACTCATGGGAAAACTTGAAGAGGGACTTGAAATGATGCTTTCATGCCTCAAGAGCTTCTTCTAAGTTAATATGCCTTTTATAAGTTACAGAACATTAACCTGAAATACATATAAAATGGAATTTCGAGGCTTTCACATGGTCAATTTTTGTGGGGGGAGGGGCAGGGGGTTAAGCCCACCATTCTCAAATTCAACTCATACTTTTAACACCTTTCTCTGGGGCTTTTAAGGGCTTCTTCAAGTCACAGTTAAGAGGTTTAGTTTCTTATTCTTTATGTAAAACCAAACTATAAAATTAAAACTTCAGTATTTTAATTAAGTCAGTGTAAGTCCACCAAATTAATTTGCAGCAGCAAAATAAGATGAAATTATGTAAAGCGCAGGGACCAATTTATCATCCCATTACTCATGATGAATTCAACAAGCTTTTACTTCCATGTCTAGGTGACAAGTATTGAAATCTCTGGTTGTCTGACTGCATCATATGAGAAATGAAGGTTTTTTTTTACCCCTAAATTAGCCTTCTAAAATTCCAGAAATATATGTTCCTCCATGAATGAAAAATTGGCTTGGCCGCCAGTGAGACTGGGCAGAGAGAGTGGGATGTCAAGAGCCAGTGGGCTGAAGGGAGCTCAAAAGGCCTGGGGACCCCTCAGTACCATACCAGCTCTACAATGCAGCTTCTGGGGCTGAAGCTTCACAGGCGGTCTGAGTTCTTAATTTACTAGCACTCTCAGTTCAGGGTGAAGTTTCCCTAAGGCCTTGATTTCCTTTTCCATCTCTCTTTCCTCAGGATCAGGCTACTTGAGAATGGAACCTCCTGATTAATGTGTCAAGAGTCATAGACTCTCCTTAATGAAGGGTCTCTGCCCACTCGGGGCACCGGGCAGGAGCTGCCACAATGCGTTAAGTCACTAATGAAGGCGGTGCTCAGTAATGATTTAAAGGGCCTTAGGAACAGAGAGCCTTCGGATTCATTAGCTTCTCTTCTGACTGCCTGCAAAGTCTCCTTGGCTCTCAGGCCTAACGCGTCTCTGTCTGCCAACCTTCTGTGGCAGAAAAGTAAGAAGGCAGATTTCTCCAAATTGGGACTTGAATCTCCAGATGATGGTTTTGTGAGACACTGGACTGCCTACTCAAGGGCAAGAACCTGTCACTTCAAATGGTTTCCCAAAGCAATTTTCTAAAGTGGATCTTTAAAACACATTGCGATGAATCATTAAAACATCTCGGGGTGACGATACTCCTGGAAGGGATAAGATGCCAAAGCAGATGGAAGGCACCTATTATCTGCCTCTAGGTGAGCAGATAGATTTAAGCAGTAAGGCCTCAGAAACTGTCCCTATCAAGCATCTATCAGGAGGCACTGAGAAACTTCCCAGCATCTATCAGGAGGCACTGAGAAACTTCCCAGACCCTTATTGCCAAATCCTTTAAAGGGGGCAACTGGCAACTTTTAGATTCCAAACCCACTTGTGCTTGAAACACAACCTGAATGGTGCTGATGTATCTCAGGAACCGCAAGGCTTCTTCATCCAGGGAGTGAGCAGGGCCTGCCCAAGGCTGGAGGTCTATTTGCCACCGGGGACCCTGAGAGGAAAAAACATAGGTTAGTGTGAAAAGGATCAGGAGGCTGGGGTGGGGGGTGGGGAGGGTTGCAGAGTATCAGGGAGGTAAGACTGTTTGCCTCCTGCAAAACAAACACTGCTGCTCTTGAGCAGCAGGGAGGTGGTTTGGGGCTGCTATCACGAAGGCCTCATGAGTCACAGGGAGACAAACGAGGCCTGAGAAAGCCCAGCTACCAGCTTAAACAGGAGACTGCAAAAGCCAGATGGGATGTCTGTCTCGAGCTTCTGATCAAAGGCAAACTCCACTTGACCCCATCAAGCTCTCTCAACTGCAGCTTTGTATTACCCGGAGCTTCTCCCCATTGTGGAAAAAACCTCCACAGTCTATGGGTTACAGCTTCAGAAATAGGTGCCTCCTAAGGCCCAGTTTTGTTGTCATGACACCATAATGCCTGAATCCTCAGGGTGCTTGGGTACCCCCCGCTCCTAGCAGAGGAAATGCAGGGGAGGAGAAGGGGGACCACTGGGTATTCCAGATGTCAGTACCCCTGTCGTCTGCACCATGCACCTGCCAACAGACCTTGGAGCTTGTACCACCAGGGTTGGCAATGGTGGCTTTCTAGCACTGCAAGACAAGCTCTAGCTTTCAGCAGAAGATGCAAGGAGCTCCCAGGAGCAGAGTGATCAGAACCCTAAGCCTCCTTTTGTGGCAAGGGTAGAGTAGATGAAGGGTTGGAGGAAAGTAGCAGTGATCTAGAAGAATCAAAACTGGGGATACCTCCAGTCAAAAGGAAGCTCTAGTCATGAAATCCTTTCTAGAGCTCAAGTTCCCCACCTGTAGTGGTCACCACCTGGAAACCTCCAGGAGACTCACTGTGATCCCAAGGGCAGAGTACGGTGCAGGGTGTAGGATGAGGAAGGGCAGGAGCCTGGGCAAGGAGAAGCCCCAGCAGTTGGCAGGGTGAACATCTCGTGTGAGGAAAGACTTTGGGAGTCTTGGCACAGAGCTTCCTGCAAAGTGGTTCGGATGGGCTCCCAAACCCCATTTTATGGTGAGGAAGGGGGTAGGGGAGGGTTCTGGGGATCATTCATGTACACAACCCTCCCCTGCCCCCTTCCTCACCATAAAGTGTGGTTCAGGAGCCCATTTTAACAGCTTTGCAGGAAGGGTTCTGGGGACAAAACAAGGATCATGTACACACATTGTTCTCCAGTCAGATATTGCAATGGTCTGAATGTGTGTCCCTGCCCCCCAAATTCCTATGTTGAAATCCTAATGCCCAATATGATGATATTAGGAGGTGGGACTTTGGGAGGTGCTTATATCATGAGGGTGGGGCCTTCATGAATAGGATTAGTGCTCTAGCTCCTGGGGCCCTACCAGCATGTGAGGACACAGCAAGAAGGCAGCCATCTGCAGCCCGGAAGAGGACCTTCACCAGGATCCAACCATGCTGGCACACTAATCTTGAACATCCAGCCTCCAGAACTATGAGCAATAAATTTCTGTTGCTTATAAGCCACCCAGTCTGTAGTATTTTGTGACTGCAGCCAGAGGAGACTAAGACAGGTATTATGGCAAGAACCATCTGTCACCCAAAAAGAAACATCTAAGCAGACTAGTACTGGGGCACTTTCTGTTCAGTTCAGTTCAGCGGCTCAGTCACGTCCGACTCTTTGCGACCCCATGGACTGCAGCACACCAGGCTTCCCTATCCATCACCAACTCCCAGAGCTTGTTCAAACAAACTCATGTCCATCATGTTGGTGATGCCATCCAACCATTTCATCCTCTGTTGCCCCCTTCTCCTCCTGCCTTCAGTTTTCCCCAGAATCAGGGTCTTTTCCAATGAGTCAGTCTTTCCCATCAGGTGGCCAAAGTGTTGGAGTTTCAGCTTCAGCATCAGTCTTTCCAATGAATACTCAGGACTGAGATCCTTTAGGATGGACTGGNTACAGATTTCTCAGAAGGCAGGTCAAGTGGTCTGATATTCCCATTACTTGAAGAATTTTCCATAGTTTGTTGTGATCCATACAGTCAAAGGCTTTGGCATAGTCAATAAAACAGAAATAGATGTTTTTCTGGAATTTTCTTGCCTTTTCAATGATCCAGCGGATGTTGGCAATTTGATCTCTGATTCCTCTGTCTTTCCTGAATCCAGCTTGAACCTCTGGAAGTTCACAGTTTATGTACTGTTGAAGCCTGGCTTGGAGAATTTTGAGCACTACTTTGCTAGTGTGTGAGATGAGTGCAATTGTGCAGTAGTTTGTACATTCTTTGGCATCGCCTTGGTAATGGGGCACTTTAGTACATATATATATATTTGCCCTTAAATGGGATGGCCTAGGTGACTTGGGATTAAACAGAAAGCAAGAAGAATGAAGGGCAAGCTGGTTAGTCAACGTCAAGCCAAGTGTGTGGGCATGGGGAAGCACAGTACACTCTGGCATGTGGGTCTGAGATAAATGCAGACACTATGTAAGTGATAAAGCATTATTCCAGGTTAGGCATTACAAGACTCATATCACTGTACCAAGTCCCGAGAGTCCACAGTCTCAGCAGCCAGACAGATAGTGGCAGAGCACCCTGCAGTCCTCCGGATGGAAAGAACACTCACTGATCACCCACAGGCTGACTCTTCCTCAGGAGTCCTTAGCACAGGGCCAGTTTCATAGGCACACAAGTTGTACATTCTTAGATGGGCTTGTGTTTGTCTCAGTGCTGACACTGTCTTGAAACTCTTAATTTTTAAACAAGAGGCTCAACATTTTTATTCTGTGCTGAGCCCTGCAAATCATATATAGTCAGTCTGCCATGAGGGGCACCTTTTCTTGGGGAATAGGCTTTCCATATAGCTGTTCTTGTTTATGAAGGCTGAGGAGGCAGAGACTCTAGCCAGGGAGAGTCTGAGAACATTAAGTAATAAATCTTCCCAGTTAATGACTCCCACCCCCCATTTCTTTTTTTCATCTTTAAATTAGTTGTTGATTACCATTTGGTCAAACAATATTTATTGAGCATCAGCCACTCTGTGCCAGCCACTAGTTGGCACCCATATGAACAAAACCCGGAACTTCCTGAGAGGCACTCACAGTCTGGTGGGTGAGACAGATATATACAAAATAAGCTTGATAGAGAAATGCTGAAACATTGGGGAAAGCCATTCTTTTCAGGAAATTATTAACTACAAAATCATAAGTTACAGACACATTTAAGTACAAATGCCTCTTAGCTTTGCTTGGTTACACTCCTTTTGCATCTAAGGTTGCTGCTGCTATCAGCACAGCAACACAAAGCTGCCTGCAAGTTTGTCCAGGCCTGGGGTTTCAAACTCCCCACATCAGTCTCATGGGATCCTGACAAGTACCCCAGTGCCTGACCCAGGAGACTTTTTATGAAAACAATAAAGTTTTCATGTTATGGTTTTCCTCTAAATCAGGAATCTGTAAATTTTTTCTATAAGAGGTCAAACAGCAAATATTTTAGTCTTTGCAGGCCATACAGTTTCTGCTGCAATTCCTCACCGCCTGTTGTAGCTCAAAAGCAGCCAAAGACAGTAAATAAACAAATGGTCAGGACTGTGCTCTAATAAAATTGCATTTACAAAAACAGATGGCAGGCTGGATTTGGCCTGCAAGGCTGGAGCTTGCTGACCCCTGCTCTATCTGACTCTGATTTGGTTGTAGGCCATCCTAGAAGAGAGTGTTTACTTGAAATAATGCAAGAGACACAGATTATGATATCTAGGTTACAAAGAACTTTGTCATCTGGGTGAATTGGGATATGTCGGTCAGGTCCCAGCAGGATACGATGGGAAGAATTTAGTAGAGAGACTATTTATAAAGGTGCAGGCAGAGTTTCAGTTCAGTTCAGTTTAGTCTCTCAGTCGTGTCCAACTCTTTGCGACAGCATGGACTGCAGCACGCCAGGCCTCCCTGTCCATCACCAACTCCCAGAGTTTACTCAAACTCACGTCCATTGAGTCGATGATGCCATCCAACCATCTCATCCTCTGTGGTCCCCTTCTCCTCCTGCCTTCAATCTTTCCCAGCATCAGGGTCTTTTCCAATGAGTCAGCTCTTTACATCAGGTGGCCAAAGTATTTGAGTTTCAGCTTCAACATCAGTCCTTCCAATGAATATTCAGGGCTGATTTTCTCTAGTATGGACTGGTTGGATCTCCTTGCAGTCCACGGGACTCTCAAGAGTCTTCTCCAATTCCACAGTTCAAAAGCATCAATTCTTTGGTGCTCAGCTTTCTTTATAGTCCAACTCTCACATCCATACATGACTACCAGAAAAATCATAGCCTTGACTAAATGGACATTTGTTGGCAAAGTAATGTCTCTGCTTTTTAATATGCTATCTAGGTTGGTCATAACTTTTCTTTCAAGAAGTGTCTTTTTATTTCATGGCTGCAGTCACCATCTGCAGTGATTCTGGAGCCCCCAAAAATAAAGTCTGTCACTGTTTCCACTGTTTCTCCACCTATTTGCCATGAAGTGATGGGACTGGATGACATGATCTTTGTTTTCTGAATGTTGAGCTTTAAGCCAACTTTTCCACTCTCTACTTTCACTTTCATCAAGAGGCTCTTTAGTTCTTCTTCACTTTCTGCCATAAGGGTGGTGTCATCTGCATATCTGAGGTTATTGATATTGCGCCCAGCAATCTTGATTCCAGCTTGTGCTTCATCCAGCCCAGCAGTTTTCATGAAGGCAGAGCTTAGGAAACCAATAAGGAGTAATGCAATAACTGTGGCTGGTAGCACCAGGGAGCCCTTCCAAATCCTGAGCAGGAAGGAGCAGGGAGAGGGGGGGAATTTGTGGAACCCAAAGAGGGAAACTGCATGGAGAAGGTGTTTAATAGAAATACAGCCAATCCGATCACATACAGTCCTATTAAAATACACACTCACCCTAACTGTCAAATGGAAGGAGAAGCTAAAGAAGCGGGAGGCTGTGGTTGGTCTATAGGTCAGCCTACTGGGGTGAGGAGTAGGGGATCAAGATGGAGAGTGGA